GGATATAAATTACTATTGAATATTGACAAATTGCCCAAAACAAAGATAATATGAACAATTCAAAAGTCTTTCCTATTTGAGTTTAATATAAAAAATCTTAATTATTATAAAGAGAATATTTAACTTTTCGGTCAGCTAATGGTCCACCAACGACCTTAGGGACTTGAGCTTCAAACATAAATTAATACGCTAAAAATGCCATAATTAATCATAAATTTGAATCTTACAAAAGCAAAATCAAATCCTAACTATATACACGTACCATAGTAATTAATAACTCAAGTTAATGAAATCAATTACAAATTGTCCGCGCAAGCTAGTGCGGATGCCAGCAGTTAGAACAGGTTGACTAATTAATCTATCTCCACCTACATCGATCATTTTATGTATACCTACTACCTTAATTTTAAAATATTGGAATTTTGAGAGTGAACTCCATCAACACGCACGTCTAGACTTTTGCAACGTTTGGGTCGCAAGAAACTCACCGCAACCATGTTTGGAAAATGACAATCGATATCCACCCATTATTTGGTAAAGCCAACCCACATGCATGTGAAGACAATGCTTAATAGAATTATCCATGTGATCTCGCTGTTATAAATACACATGCTGGGTATCCAAAAGAATCCGCACTCATCAAGTTCTCAAATTCAAAGTATTTGTACCTAGCCAACACCCAGCAGTAGCCATGGTGGAGATCTTTAGGATGTACGTCGAGAAATCTCACACGGCGAAAAGCAAATTGAAGCTTCCCAGTCTCAGTGATTCACAAATTGCCGAACTTCAAGCTGATCCGGTGTTCAGGGCTAGCGATAATCAGAATACATGGAACTGTCAATACAGACAATCACCCGATGGTCAGCACTGTCTCCATGTTGAACAATGGGATCATTTTAAGGGAAGAATTAATGGCAGGACGATCAGCCTTTACAAAGAATATGATCCTTACAGCCAGGGAGCTCCGTCCTACAAATTTGAAGTCCAGTAATTGAGAAAGTGGTTGTTCATGTTTTTAGACTTGCTTTTAAGTATTTCCTAGTTAAGTATCTTTTTAGAGAATAAAAAATGTTTTTTTCATGGTTGCTCTACATTTAAAAACATTAATTGAGTATTGGGAGAAATCAAAAATATTATCAATAATATTTTTGTCAATTTCAATTCTAAATTAATGTTTTTAAATGTAATACAAACTGAAAAATAACATTATCTTTTTAGTATAATGCAAGATGCTATACATTAAATCTATAATAAACTAGTTTATCCTTTCTATAACTATGCAGAGGGATGTTGGTTTTGTATTGTCTACTGTCTAGAAAGAAAGTAATGGTGTTTCTGTAAAATATTATGCTATTAATATAAAATATTAATAAAAATTTCAACTCTTTTATATATTGAGAACTTAGTTCTAAATTTTTCACAAACTAATTAATTACTCTGCATATTATATTTTAATACGAGGTTTAAAAAAATATATATTTGCATCACAAGTGTCATCGAAGAAAACAATAACCACCACATGGAAGACTCTCTAACTTTAAATTGAAAAGAAAAACACTAACAATCAAGTAAATTTGCGTTGTCGGCTGTTATCCCATCCCCCACTTTTAGTAACACGTTCAGCCAAAATTTACCGAAGAAATAAAAACATGTTCAGTCAGACGGCATAGATCTTTCTAAATTCATATGTACTTTTATTTTTGTTTGGTTCAGTCAAACTTTTTATCTTACCGTGCACAACACAATCGCACATGACATTCGCGTATTATCTTGGGTAAGGTGCGCGCGCCAAAAATCCTTGCCCCTTGAGCTTGCGAAGTTACCAGGAGAGAAAAAAAAAGGACAAAAAATCTAACGAAACACTAGAATAGAATATACATTCATTCGTGAGTAGAATCTCTATAGGAGAAGGATAAGTTTTTTCCCCCCTTTTTTTTATTTATGAATGGCCTTATATCAGTTTATATGTATTTAAAATTTTTTTTTTTTAAGATCTTAAAGATGCATTTCACATCATTTTATTGTGTTTAAGGATACGTTAACTCTAAAATTTAAATTTTAAATATAACTTAAAATATATTATTTTTGTTTAATTTTAGTTGGTATAGTTTGACTTTTAAATTTTTATATATTAATTTTAGATGAAAATTTAAAAAAATATATAAATGACAATAATTTTCTTTTTCTAATTGAAAATTTGATAAATAATGATTGAATTTTTGTTTTCAATTTAATGAAACTCCTCAACAAGAAAAAATATAAGGAAATTATTATTCATATGTTTGTTAAATTTTTATTTAAAATTAATATTTAAAAACTTAAAAAATAAATTAAAATAACACTTTTTTAATTGTAAATTTAACCTTAAATATTTCAAACAAACTATAATTAGGCATGAACTAAAAGTGAACTTATTTCTTGGGATTATATATATATATATATATACATATCTTGCTTGCTTCTCTTATACAGTAAAAATATATTGAAGAATTATTTTACATAACAAATTGTATATTAAAGTATACAATATTATATAA